TAAAAAAAAAAAAAAAAAAAAATCAAATGAAATCTTAAAAATTGTTTGTCATAAATATATATATATATATGTAGTTCGAGTTTTCGGGGGTAAAAATAGCGAGGAAATAACAAGTATAATATATATTATCAGAATAAGAAGATAAGAAATAAAATTAAAAATTCCTTTTGAAAAACAAACAAGAATGAATAAGACGCTAATTACTATATTATACTCAAAAACTATTTCAAGAACAAACAAAATCCAAGAATGTAGTAAAAGTACACTCGTCCAACTCGAGCATAGCCTAGAGGATAAGAGGAAAGGGAAGCTTGAAATAAATAACTTGGAGAAGCGATGGAACTAAAAACTAAGAAGAATCGTTCTTTGTAATACTTGACAAAATTTCAACTTCCGTCCAAACATAACTCAACTAATAAAGACACATGTCCCTTCGTATTCTATTTTTAAGAACCATAAACACTGAAAAATGCAGAAAGCAGCAAAGAAGATCTGTAGATTGAACATAAACCAGGCAGAACCAAAAGCAAAATCATTTACAGCTGATAAGAACCACCATGGGAGATAATTCAGTTCCCTGTCCCACAAATCAACCTAAGAATTGAATCTTAATAATGAAACTATCACCTTACTCCTAACTTAAGAAAAAATGTGTTCAAAGTTGGATTATTTTTCCCCCAAAAGAATATAATAATAAACAGTAACCAAAGGATGATAAACTATTCCCTCAACCTTTCCAACTCTCTACCAATACTACCAACGAATTTGGGCATATAATTAGGACGTGCAGCTTATAGAATGCTTAACGGATGTGAAAGTACGAGACTTACAAGGTCGTAGCTCGGATTTAAGGACGTATCAGTTTGAGTTGACCCACAGAGAGCTAAGACGAGATGCGAGTTTTGCACTCTTGTAATCCTCTCTGAGCTGGATAAACCTGATTCCAGAGAGAAACAAGTTCATATCATGATGATCATCACAAAGAACAAGGTGCTTTGATGAGATGTTGACAAATACCTTTGTGCATCTTTCCGAATGCTTGGGGTACCCTCAAATAGACTTGAGAGACTTTCAGGAGCAACAATGAAGACATTGGCCATGCTGGAGAAAAGGAACACCAAGCAAGAGATTAGCCATAAAAGAATGGATGATGTGATGCCAGACATCCGGAACAACCCAACTTACATGCCCAGTAACTCGAAATTTTCATCAACAGAAGGAGCGTTAAAACTGCGCACAAATTCTCCGTACTCTGTTATGTCACGCTTCAGACGTAGACCTCCGCTACAGTCACGAAAAACACCAGCATAGATGAATTCAGTGAACCAAATGCCATTTTAGCCACAGCAACAGTTTTAGGTACGGACAAGGAGAAAACAAAAATCCAAGAGATTTTGAGTTCTATATCGTCAAACATATAGCTCGTTGTCGTCACTTCCGACAGGGAGAGAGTAATTACAAGGTTTGTTCTTGTTAAAAATTACTTAAATAACTTAAATGGCTCTAACCTACTAGGATTTAACGACAAGCATTGTTCAATTATCATTTCTACATTGGTTAAACAGCCACAAGGACCTTGCATCTTTATATATACTTTCTTAGAATTTCAAAGATTTGGTAAAAAAAATATTGAACTTCATGATTTTGCCATCTGTCAGTGGACAAATAAACATAACAATACGTCTAAAACTTCGGCCAACGTTCGGTTGACCAATAGGCAAATCCAAACATCACCCAACAAAGGAATTCACCAAATTATTTTTCACATGATGAACACTAGAAGATGGACAATTACCTAGGATTGAAAGTGAACTTCTGCCAGTGGCTGAGGAGGCCTTTGTGGAACCGATTTCCCTGCAATGGAAAATTTCTCATTAATTCATCTATATTGTTCTCATTCAACGTAGGCTGTGCAACGGTAGAAGTTCTTCCCGATGCATGAGATGCTTCAATAGGATACAGAAAATATTACGTTAATGGGCATCGATATGGAAAAGGAGCATCGAAATACTATTTATCCATGCACATTGACTAGAAATCACATGATTCTATCTGGTACAATTATTCTCCAGAAATCACAGTATTCTATCTGATGCCATTATTCTCTAGTAAACCAGAGAACTTTCAGAATCATACCAGCTCGGTTAAGAAAGCTTGCTTGTTAAGACCTTCAAGAGCAGTAAACGCAGATTCAAGCACGCGAGAAAGGTAAGCCACAACTCTATCAAAGAAAAGAAGATACATTGATTAATAAAAGAAATTTGCATATCCAACACAAATGTTCGGTTGTCAGGTGACAGTGAACTTCCTGCCTAAAACAACAAACTTCAACTGACTGGCATCCATTGATCCACGAGTTGATGAATAGAGTCGGAAAGAAAACAATAATTTAACAACTTTTTGGCTACAAAATCCAAAAACCTTTTGCAATTTCATTGAGTCGGATGTACCTCGTGCAAGCAACTGTTGGCCGATGATCAGGAGCCATTCCATCATCAGGAGACCTATAATCCGTAGCCTTCTGTTCAGCAGAAAGCAACCGCTCAACCTGCATATGGATAATAGCACAAGAAATTATGACACGAGCAACTTGGATAAATTAGACATTGTTAAGCATATGGGTTGAGAATAAAATTCCAAGCAAAGATAGATTGGACAAGAAGTTAAATGTAAAATGAGAGGATGTATCGGCTTACACGCCTACTAATCCATTATTTTGACCAAATCACCGAGCCAAGGCAATAACTGACCTCAGCCATTACAGTTTCGATGCACTGTTGCAGTCCTTTATAGGCTGCAGCCTCTGCAGTAGACATAGCTGTTGACATCTCTTCGCATGAAGCAGCATGGGCACCATCCACCGGGAGCAAGAGCCGGGAAATCGAGTTTGCAAAGTACTACAAAAGAGAGTTCAAATCATTCTTTGTATATGAAGGAACTGGTATTGATGTGGCTTAATCAGAGAGCATCGTCGTACTTGCTGGACTATTGCCACACTACTACCACAACGTTGTACAGCAACCATGAAAGATTTGAAACTGCTTTCACCAGCTGCTGCTGCTGCTTCTGCCTGCACACATGATTTAAGACAGTTTCCATGGTCACTTTTGAGTAAACTAAGGCAATAACTTTTACGAAATCTAAGATAATTTTGGATGCAATAAAAAGAGTAACGAATGATCAGAAAATTACTGCGGAAGCAGCTGCAGCAGCCACTCTTCTACTAACACTTGTACCCAGCACAAACCTTTCCCTCAAAGCAGCTGCCTCGGTCAAGCTCTCCCTAGCCCGTTCAAGGCCATCTGTGATATACTGACTGACCTGCAATTAGAAAAGAAGAAAAATAAACCCCAAGTACATACAAAACCAAAATGGAAAAAAAATGGAAGTTTGCAATTGAATTTACCACTTACTTCATCAAGCAGACAAGTAAATATAGTTCTTATATTGGCCGTCAAAGTAGCAGGCTGCAGGGGAACATATAAATGTTAACAAATGGAAGGAAAATGTTCAAAATCTAGTTATCAATGTTATTGATTGTAGACACTGTTCATCCCGGTCTGAAATCGTTCAATTGGAATGCATAATGGATAACAGAACTGATTGAAAGAACAAATATTACTTGAGAGGAGAATAAAGTGCAACGAGAAATTGCTTCCTCATTCCATCGCACAAACTCGGTAACAACAGTAACAGAAATTTGCTGAGGCGAAGTTGACATCGAAGCTCCTTTCGCACGTCCTATAGAACCAGATGACTCAGAACCTTGCTGATTCTCAGTACGTAACTCTTCCATCTGCAAAGCAAACATATTTAGTTCCTGATAAAAACATGAACTGAAAAATCAAGTCAAAACAAAGCATTTGTGGTAAACCTTAGCCTGATACAGCTGTGTGAGAGATGCCTGCTCATGCTCCGGATACTCCTCCTTGTGAGTAGAAAACAAAGACTCCGTGAGGCCTGAACCAACCATTTAAATTTTATGTCACCGCAATAAAATAAAATATTGGGGACTCGACAAATAATTGAATAACACCGGCATTAAATAAACAAGTGATGATAAAAAGTACTACAGATACAGTTATTGTGTTTAAAATACAGTAATCATCAGCTATTAAATAAATAGTGCAATTCTCAGAATGAGTGATAAACACAAAATTTATGAATAAATCAAGGGAAGTTGAAAATATTAGCTATTACCTTCGACGTCCAAATCACCACATCCAACAGCTCGTAGGTCTCTAGCAAGCTGTTGTGTCTTCTCATATGCCACCGCCAGCATTCTAAGGTACTGAAAAAACACATATCCAAAACAGTCACACAATGATCCATATAGAAGATCAATTGGAAGTACCAAGATTCTAGTAGATCCACCCACCAATAACAGCCCGCCTTCTTCCATTGGAGGAAGATTCACGAGGGATGGCTTCACCAGTAACTTGTCTAAAAGAGCTGTGACCCGTTGCTCCAATACACGCTGTAATTACACATCATAAAATCAGATTCATTGCAAATGCATACCAACATCCTGCTTTAAAGATAAAATATTGAACAAGGAAACTGAGAGAGATAATGTTGTAACATGCCTGGACTAAGATTGACATAACATCATTCGGAGAAGGAAATACTGCCATTATAGTTGCAGCTTCTTTTCTTACAGTATCTGCAGAACGTACAATCAAGATATAACAAATTCATAGAGAAAAATGCCCAAATGAGTGAGCCTTTCCACTTCCCAACCTGTAATTTCTTTGTACAAGGAAGATAGCCCACGAGCAACATTGTTCGGAGTGGCCTGCAAACCCTGCTCACCAAGGACCAATCTGGTGTCCGCATTCATAATTTCAACATCGATAAACATGGGACGTGTTGCCACATAATGTTGCATGGCACTAGTACCTCTGTTAAACTGCATGAGAGGTTTCGATGATCAAACTCTTCTGAAAAAAGGGTGCTGGTTCTTTGATGAAGTAACATGTTTCCCCACAATTTCCTCAATACCTCCATCATTATCAATGTGATACTTCACTAATTTCTTGAACTTAAACAGTTTTTTATTACGCCTCATGCATCAGTGACGATGATACTGTAAGCAGAAAACTTGTAAACTAAAATTTTCGTAAGCAATCTGCTGTTTTGAACTTGGACATTAGGGTTATTAACATGCAGCCTAATGAGTGATCAGCAAGCCATGTTCATTGTTATAACCATATTTTAAAAATAATTAAAAATAATAATAATAAGTAGGAAAAAAAAAGAGAATACAGAGCATGTAAGTGGGGTAATTTGATATCGGTGAAGAGACCAAAACGACAACTGGTTGTATCCATAAGATGCAATTACCTGTGAAAGAATTTTAGCACATTCAGCCATAGTAGATAATTCTCTTCTTTGTGATGCTGCATCGAAACGAGACAGCAATCTGTTCTCCAACTCTACAAAAAAAAAAAGAAAAAAAAAAAAATGATGGTCAATAGTTTCAACTTCACTTCCCTTTTCTTTTCTTCTTCGTTCTTTCTTTCTTCCTTTCTTCGTTTTGTGTGTGTGTGTGTGTGTGTGTGTGAGGGGAGGGGGGGAGGTGAGGAAGCATGACAGACAAGGTCTTATCTGATAACTCATATCAGCCATCTTTGCAGTAACAAATAACAGAAAAATAATGAACAATAAAATATAGAGAGGGACGAGGGACGAGGGAAAGCTTGACGAGCAGCAAGAAAAGTTCAAATACATTATGACTATCTCAATTCGTTAAGACAACAAAATACCATGGAGCTGCCATACCATTACAGTAGTCCTGAAGGTTCGCAACTGCAACTTCCAAACCCCTGCTGGCAGTTGCATTTCCTACAATTGACGGTACAGAAATCCCCTGTCGTCCAATATCTTCCTCAGCAAATGACCCTAGAGACGAATAACATGCAACAAGCACAGAAAGTTTAAATAATGTTACGGTACTTTGATATTGATTTCGCTAATAAGAGGATTTAAAAGGCATTAAACGCTCAAAATAATAGAACAAAAAAGGTTTCACAAATTACCGAATTGTGCAATAGATAAAAGTGAATAGTTTGTTTTCTTCTGTTTTTTAGTAAATAGTGTTTGGCAATACAAAGTACATGAAAACAGAAACTTGATTTTTGGAGGGACGGCCCTTCTATCCGTACGTAACTCATATATCGAAGGCAACATCTATCGATAAAAGAAATGAAATATAAAACGGTAAAAGAAAACCATGACTTTTATGTTGGCCAAAATCAAAAGTTCTTAAAGAAAAGCAGAATGAAGAAAACACGTGGTTTCCACAAGAACTAGCAGAAAGACAGCAATCGAAAGAGTGTTATAGCATTATTCGTGGATAGAACTGAAATATGGTTTAACTATGAACCCCGACATTAATGATGATGACTTACGCAATTTTTGTGCAATTGAGGCCGCCTCTGCAACACGACTATCATCAGAAAATAATGGGGAAAGCTCCATTAAGTCACCAGGGCTGCCATTGAATTCCATCAAGTACTGCAGTGATTGATTATAAGGATATTTTTCATTTCTTTATAGTTAACTTTAAAATGAAAGGAAAATATATTAACATTGGTGGCAGTGGCACAAATTCAATCAATGAACTTATAGTACCTTTATCAACTCTATTGTTTGACTAGCAGTTTCCCTTTGGGCATCTGCACTCTGACAAGAGAAAACAAAGGAAATGAAAAACCTTAGTCCAGTTTCACACTAAAGGGACAATTATGATTTCGTGAATCAATGATTCAATATAATTTAAATGTCACTGAGGACATAAAAGAATTACTTGCAGATGATCTCCAATTTTCGCAGCAGTCTGTCCAACACTTGAAATGCGCGAATCTAACCTTGCAAAACTGGTGAACAGGCCATCTACGCCTTTTTCCAACTGTCAATAAATGTATGTTCGATAGGTTAAACAATGAGATGTATCGGTTTCGACATTCAAAAATGGAGATTTACAAGCTACCTCGACTAACAAATGCAGAAAATCATTAATAGAGGAAAGAACGTAACAATTTAGCATCAGTTTGATCAACAATTCATGACTTACGGATCTTCATAGGTTCTATGAAACCTTAACTGTTTAATCAATTAATTAATGAATTTACAATAATAATTCCACCAAAGGATTCCCTTACAGCCCCTGAGGAAATAAAAATAAAAGTAGAAATTGAAGAACAATATCATATAGGCATGACATATACTCAAACTTTAGATGGTTGTGCATTCAGAATGTCTACCCTCACCCATAAGGCTATAGTCAACAAACCTCAGCAAGTGTCTTGCGATGCTTGAAATCTTGGGCAGCAACATCTTTCTTGAGATTGTAAAGTTTACCATCGATCTTTAACCAGAACGAAGACGGAAAGTTAAAGCCTTCATATAGCGGTATGATGTTTTGGCAGAACTCTTAAGGCCTTCAGTCAAATCACATACCTGTTTTCGAAGATCAACCAACTCTTGGCTGGAATCCTTGAACAACGCTAAGAGTTTGTCGACTTCTGGAAACAAAGGAGTAGCCAGCGCTTGGGAGAACTTAATGGTATCTGATTGTCCCCGAAAATGCCCATTAGGGAAAACATCATTGCTAATGTTGTGTCCGTCTACTGAATCAGTTTCTTCCTCTTGAAATGATGGAAGGAGCTCATTCACCAAATTTCCAAACAATGCATCGAAAGAAAAATCGCCCTACAAAACCAAAATAACTAAAGCTCCTTCCAAATTCATATGCAGATTCATATATTGGCTATCTCAAGTGGTATATTAATTGATTCGGTAACTTACATAGAGAGCGTAGTTCAAATAATAAATTGAGAACATGGTCTTTACCTTAAAATCATCAACATCCAAAATGAGGGGAAGTGAGCTAACAGATGGATTTTTTGCATGCATGTTTTTCTTGGCCCCATCTCTAGTCTCTCTCATCTAGTTTGCATAGAATAAATCAGAGAAAAAACGTAACAGTACGATTCTATCAATATGCCATTCAATCTTAACTGATACTAGTTGCATATAATTTGAATTTCCATCAAATGAAAACAAACTATTGTAAAATCTAATAAGAAGCTAACCTTTTAACAAATAGGGAGAAAGTATACAGATCCAGCTCCTTTCAAGCGTTACTCAAACTTGTAAAAGAATACAAGTTAGCCATGAGGAATCTAGTCGATTCACTAAAACCAAGTGTTGAGTACACCAATTGTGTCAACCATGAACATGGTTTTCATTTTTGGAATAGAATACAAAGAATCAGAGGAACAATCAAGATATAGAATAGCTCAAACTCAAACACAGATCCAAAATGAAGAACTCTCCCGTTTAAACAAAAACAACATACTAAAAAGCCGTGAAGCTTTAGAAATTAATTTAAACAAACAAAAACTCAATCCAGAGAAACATGTGTAGCATTGTGGTAAATAAAGCTATTACACACGCAGCAGATGAAAGCCATCAATTGCATCAACTCGAACTAGTTCACAATTTTATTAAAAAACAGCGAAGATCTCTGCATTTTCTGAAATTGGATCCTCTTTGAGATCAATCATTCCAATTTGCGCTCGTATTTCCGAGCCCAAGTGTGATCCAACAAATTCATCGCCAGACCAACAAGCCAATTTCACACGAGTTAACCAAAATTCAGGATATTAAACCGTAAGTATCAAATTCGGATGTGGACAATAACTTGCTATTGCAAGCAAACGCAACATTTCCATTGATCAAAATGCTACAGAGCCTCATCTTACAAATTGGCTACGACCCAATATCAAAACTGTATCGCTCATGATCTAAAGTAACTTTACTATGCAAAAAAATATAAAAATACATAGCTACTTTAGCAATCAAACCAACCTGTTATTGGGCAAGGATCCAAAGCAAAGTAAAATTAAGAATGAAAATTTTGGTGATAATGAAGTAGAGCAGAATTTACCCGCCGAATTGATCTAATCTAAGCAAGAGAAGGTAGGGGCGGGAGATTCAAAGACGGGGAGTCATTGCGCAGTGATCAAATACAAAATTGAAAGGCATACCTGTGAATGGAGACAGTGAAGGAGGGAGCAGTTGCTTGGTCGTTGAATGATTTCTGATTTGGTTTTGGTTTGGGTTTGGGTTTGGTTTGAGAGAATAATCAGCCTACTCTAATTCCCAACGAAAACCAAACCCTGCGAAATGACCATTTTACCCTTCTTCCCTCCCTTAAAAAAACTCCTCCTCATTTAGTATATCTTATTAAATCATTTATTTATTAAACTTTCAAATCCAAAATGATTTATTTTTCTTTAAAAAGAGGATCAATCAAACTGAGCTACGACGACCGCTAACGAGATGGGGATAGCGAAAGACAGAGTTGAATAACAAATTTGAGGCTTCCATATAAATTATTAATAAATTTTTATTTATTTATTTGTAATAATTCTATATATAAAGGAAATGAAATAAGTATAATTATTTTTTAATTATAATGGAATATGTTAACTAAAAAAATTGTGCTCAAATTTATTTTGATTTAAAATAAATAATAATTACCTTAAATTTCACCCCTAAATTTAGATTTTTTTAACCGTCTAAATTTATTTTTTGAAAAAAAGAAAAAACAAAGAGAAATAAAGGCAGAGGTTGTTAGAATACAATCTTGACACATTTTTATATATATAATTTTCATACGATTTTTGAATTAAATGACTTATTTAATTTTGTCCTATTTTAGTTTTCTATTAATAAATTATAATTAAAATCCATTGCTTTATTTTCTTTTTTTCAAATTTTTTGCATTTAAAACGAGACAATTTCTTAAAAAATTATTTATGGGATTTCTTTCGTTCCAAAGGAGGTAAATATCTAATATTAGCCGAAAACTTTAAAGGAAAATGGGCCGTGGATGTTATTGGGCCGGGTTTAGGCCCATTACGAATGTAAGACAATGCACGTATAAAGCTGTGTAGGGAAGTTCTAACCGTTGGAGCGACGTGTGTCACGCAAGTCTGCCTGAGAGAAAAAAAAAAAAAAAAAAAAAAAAAAAAAAAAAAAAAAAAAAAAAAAAAAAAAAA